TATAAGGAATTTCGTCATGAAACTTGGTGAGGATGCTGGGGGAGGCCTCCTCAATATGATTTGTTCACTCTCACAATATAATTGCTAATACTATTTTAGCAATTTGTTGTTAAATAATGTCCACTATCACCCCCTAATTTTTTTAAAATATGCCACTTATCACTTATATTTTGTGTTACATATTATATTTTCAATGCTCACATGCGTATTTTATGCTTTTATTATATATAATTCACCAATTAATTAAGTAAAACGCGTTTATAAATTTGTGTTCACGTTTCACTACTTTTCACAAACAAACAGAAATAACAATGGCCGACAGTAAGAGCAAATATGTGCTGCCATACGTTTTAAAAGTAAATACGCCACTATCAGAGGATTTTATTAAAACGCGGCCAACACAAAAAGGAGTTGTGCGTAAAATCGTCATATTTTTATGGCAACCGTATTCCAACGGTATTTCTTTTATTCTCTTCTTATTTTTTCGCATGCAGATCTCGCGATTTTATATAAAACACCCAGTAACCATATATTAATATAGTTCCATACATATCGAAAATTTTTAATAAAAAATCGCGCGATTTTTTATTAAAAATTTTCGCCTGCGGCGCTTTATATTCTAAAAATCGATACCTTTCGCTGAAATTTCGATTGGTTCCGTTTTGGAAAGCCCACCCCGATGCAGTGTAAGCTATTGCTTCTAGGACGAACAACGCACATTTCTATAATTTTATTCGCGTTACTTGTAAGTAATTTAAAGCTAACAGCTTTCTAAAAAGGTTCAAAGTAAAAGGTAAAAGATAAAAGATGAAAAATATCGAGAACTTACCATTTTTAGCGTCATCTAGCGGCAAGATACTTTAGACGAGTCCAATACGCTGACATTTGTTTTTAACTTGACAGCTAGCAACACATGGCCAAAAACAAAACAAACAGCAGCGTTAAAAGCAAAATAAATCGTTGGTTATTACCTGCAGCTTAAAATATTAATTTTTATTTAAGTTTCAACAGATTAAGGAATCAATATGCCTAAAATAAAAACAGAGAAAAAATCCCGCATACACCAAGAGGTGCAAAAGCAAGGTAAGAGCAATACATACATAATCATAGGTGTCCTTTGGTCATCGCTCACATTTATTATCTTCTTTCCCAAAGGCATTGTATTCAACAAGGATTTTGGCCAGCATATACTCAAAAATCCACTTGTCATACAAAGCATGTTGGAGAAAGCTGCACTTCGCAACACGGACACCGTGTTGGAAATCGGTCCCGGTACCGGTAATATGACAGTGCGTATGCTAGAGCGTGCCAAGAAAGTAATCGCCTGTGAAATTGATACACGACTCGCTGCTGAGTTGCAAAAGCGTGTACAAGCAACAGCGCTACAGCCAAAATTACAAGTACTAATCGGTGACTTTCTCAAAGCCGAACTACCATTCTTCGATTTATGCATTGCCAACGTACCATATCAAATTAGTTCGCCGCTAATTTTCAAATTACTGCTACACCGGCCACTCTTTCGTTGCGCTGTGCTAATGTTTCAGCGTGAATTCGCACAACGGCTAGTTGCCAAGCCAGGTGACAAGCTCTATTGTCGTCTAAGTATCAATACACAGTTGCTAGCGCGTGTCGATATGCTAATGAAGGTTGGTAGGAATAATTTTAAACCACCGCCGAAAGTAGAATCAAGCGTTGTGCGACTAGAGCCAAAGAACCCGCCACCGCCAGTTAATTTTACCGAATGGGATGGTCTAACCCGCATTGCATTTCTGCGTAAAAACAAAACATTAGGTGCAGCTTTTAAAATAAATTCGGTAATCGAGATGCTGGAGAAAAACTACAAGTTACACCTATCGCTGCACAATAAGGTAAGAGCGAGGAAATACTTTTAAAAGAAACCCACAAAATGTATGTTAACACTTATGGCTACTATCCTATAGCCACTCGAAGCTGATTTTAGTATGCAGGCCAAAGTAATGGACATCTTAAAAAAATTAGAAATGGAAAATGCGCGTGCACGCTCTATGGATTTAGATGATTTTATGAAATTGCTGTTGGCATTCAATTACAAAGGTATACACTTTAATTAGCACACTATGTATAGAAATTGTGAATAACTAAACTTAGTATAAGAACCCTAAATAAAAAACGAAAGGCGTCACAATTAGCCAAATTTAATTGCTAATTAAATGATGTGCCGTTTATACATACATATAACCAAATCAACATTTCAACGGTTGTTGGTGCATTTATTTGAGCGTACGTTCAGCACAAACTGGATAAAGTTATATGTAAGTTTTTTTTTGTATATATGGAATATATTCATACTTGAATTACATACATATATGGTTTTTTATTAGTTTATATAAATAGATATTTAATCATAGTATTTTTTATAGATTACAATTAGTTTAAAATGATAACAGAGTTCGGAAGGGTAGTTTAGAACTGTTGGGTTTAACATTTCAAACATTTTTTAAAAGACATTGCATTGATTTGTTCACACTCATAGATGGAGGAAGAAAAACTATAATATTTTAAATGAAAATGGTTATTAACGCCGAAATGGTCTTCCGCGATATAACAAAATCAAAGTGCTTAAATGATTTAATTTTTTAACAGATGTTTTTGTTAACGTTAAAATTCCCTAACGCTAGTTTATCGTATTTTTTTTATCAACTTTTGTTATTAATTTTTAGATGTCCTCTTTAAAGGTCAATAGTCGAATCAAAGAAACTACATTCTAACAAAATATAGTAATTTATAAATTTTCGGATTTTCTAAAAACAATCGCGAAGGAGTGCGATTTGAGAATATAATTTGAATTGGTTTATCTTGCTATAGCTACCGTTGATTCAGATAATTAAATATTCACGATAAAGTTTACAAAAACAACTAGTCAAAAACGACATGCACAATTTGGCCAAAAGTCTGGAATACCTACGTAAATAGTTTTTGTTAATTTGAAATGTTTGACAGTTTTAGGTTATGCCCAAAATCTGTGTGATATGGGTATATAAAAAGAAAACGAATAAAACATTCATACATAACACTTGCAATCAGCATATTGCACTTGTTATTCTATATACCTAATAAAAGTCTCCTACATCATTTCATCTTTGTCCGCTTATAACTGCTGGTTTTGAAATTGTCTTTGATATTTAAAATGGCCACGTCATATAAACGCTACACTTGTATTTGTTGTAACCCATAGTATGTGGAATGCACGCAGTATTTCGCTGCAATCATGTTACAGAAACGCACAATAACACATTGGCATTGTTCAATTAATTTAGGAAACTTAGTATATCCTGCTGTGATAATGTGTTAAGATTTTTGTTATCCTGTGCCTGTTTCTGCGCTGCATTTTGTTGCGGTATCAGTGGAGTTAAGTTGTTCATATTATTCAAGCTGCTCATACTATTGCCATTGCTGATTCCACTGGCACCACTGCTGTTGTAGCCCGAAGGGTAAATATAGTTTACAACTTGTCGTTGCACACTTGCGCTCTTATTCCCACCACCGAATGGATTTAATTTATCCAACGATGATGAATTATTATTACTACTATTATTGGCTTGTGGTGAGGCCAGTTGATGATTCATAACCAAAGGATTTGCGCTATGCCAGTTGTTTGTCCAAGCGTCAGTTGAATGCGATTGGTTGGGACTGGTCACATTACTGCCGGGAGATGTATAGGGATTCACAATCGGTGACATTGCGGATGTGGGGGCAACCGAGGACTTTGGCGATGAAGAGTTGCTTAGATTCGATATATTCGAGTTCATCAGCGAGGAGAGAATGTCGGGTTTAGGCGATGAAGTGTGCGATATTCTGTAAGATAGTAATTCACATTAAATCATCCAAATTTTATATTTCTCAGTTTGCGTCTACTAACTTTAGCGCATCATTATTCGATTTTAATTTTAATTGTTGAATTCCTTGTGAAGGTGCGCTTGACTGTTTCGTTGGTGGTGATATGGAAAATCCAGAAAACATATCATCGTCACTGTTTACGCTGTTCGTAAGGCTTGTATTCGCCTTTGCGCCCTGCGATAAGGAACCCGTGCCTTTTTCCAATTCTGTGGCCAAAATCTCAGAAGCATCACGTGGTCTTGAGCAAATAAAAACAAATTAGCATTTTTTTAAGATTAATCTAAACCGATATACAGAAAAAAAAAA